AAGAAACACTCCAATACTCCCCATTCTTGAGGTGTTAATCCTCCATCAATCTTTCCTCAAATTTATATTATTTTGAGAGAAAACTATTTGTTTTTAAGAGAGTGTTTTGTCATCCATTAGAGCTTTAATCATTTCTCTTATCTACTCTTTTGAGAGCTATTGTTGAGAGGTTGAAGAAGATTGTTCTTCTTGTTGTTCAAGGCTTATGTGATTTAAGTCTTGGTTGTGAAGTCTTGTAGAGGGCATATCTACGAGCGGTTGTGTCGAGGCTTGTGGGATTCAAGTTCTCGAGTTGTAAACGGTTTGTTAAGCACCCGTAAGCTTAACGGAAGTAGTGGTAGCTTCGAGAGAGTCTCTCGGGAAACTGGATTAGCCACGAGGTGGTGAACCAGTATACATTGGTGTGTTCTTTGCCTTCTCTATTTTATTTCTGCTGCACTTACGTTTATATTATTAATCCTGCGAAAATCGGTAAACATTCTCAAACAATTCTATTCCCCCTCTCTAGAGTTGCACGCCTTGTCTAACAATTGGTATTAGAGCAGGTATCTCTAACGCTCTTTGTGACATTTGAGAAAACGATCAAAATTTTTTTTTGAGAATGTTGAACGCAGGGATAGGAGAAGGGCAATTTTTGATGGAACAAATTACTCCTATTGGAAGGAGCGAATGAGGATTTTTGTTCAATCAAACGACTTCAAAATTTGGCTTGCTATCAAGAATGGAGATAGCTTGCCGATGAAGAAGATAGGCGATACACTCATCCCGAAGGACGAGGATGGATATGATGAAGCCGACTTTAAGAAGGCTCAATTAAATGCCACCGCCATCAACTTCTTGTATTGTGCTGTTAATTCCAACGATTATCAAAAGATATTTCGTTGCCAAACCGCCAACCAAATGTGGAACAAGCTCATGATCACATACGAAGGTACGCCTCAAGTTCGTGAATCAAAAATTGATTTACTAACCCATGAATATGAGCTAGTTGCTATGAAAGAGAACGAACTTGTGGAGGACATGTTTGGAAGATTTTCAAACATCGTCAACGACCTTGATATGCTTGGAAAGACGCTCACCGACAAGGAGTTAGTGAGGAAAATCCTGCGAAGTCTTAGCAAGGAATGGGAGTCAAAGGTTAACTCCATCTACGAAGGCCGAGATTACAACGTTATTACATACGACGGTCTCCGAGGTAACCTTATCACTTACGAAACAAATCATCTTTCTCATACTCTTGACGTTAAGAAGAGAACGGGAATTGCTTTTAAAGCATCTTCTTCTCAAAAAGTAGAGATCGATGATTCAGATTCGGATAGTGATAGTGATTCTAGCACTTTTTGTGATATTTTGGTTGAATGTTTTAACGAGTTTATGAAACATGAGCTTAATAAGAGCAAGAGGAAAAACACCCCAAGGTGTCATACGTGCGGAAAGCTTGGCCACCGAAAATTTGAGTGTACGAAGCTCAAGAAAATGAGCAAACAAGATGAATTTGTGTATTTTTCGTGGAGTTATGACCAACCTTCCAAAGACGATTCCCTCATCGGTGTTGAAGAACAAGATGGGTGGTCGGGCACGTGACGCACTTGAAAGGCGTGCTTGAAGACTACAAATTTTGTAGTGGATGCTCCAAGCACTTAGCCAAAGAGATTGCATCAAAGGGGAGTGATTACATTTTTTTTAAAATTAAATGTTATTTTTGAGATTTATTTATGATAATTGTTATTTGGGGAATATACATAGGATGTTTTTCATATAGTAAGGAGGAATTTATTGCTATATGTGTTAATCTTTTTGTATGCTTTAATTTTTCAGAGGAGGTAGCATACTTTAAGGGGGAAGTATTTTATTTCCTAGAAATGCATGATTTTAGGGGGAATGTGATTTTTCTTAATTGTTTAGATTTTTTTCTCTCCCCGGAATGCATGAGTTCTTTTGTTGCATTATTTTTGATGATGCCAAAAGGGGGAAGAGTATAGGAGTATATGCTTTAATTTGTTATTTTTGGTAGCATATCCTCCATGTGTTTGTCATTATCAAAAAGGGAAAAATTGTTGGAATGCATGAGTTCAACCCTTTCTGTGCTGTTAAGTGTTGACTCACAGGTTTTGATAATTGACAAACACAATTTATTTAAGTCAAGATCAAAGTGCTACAACGACAAACACGAAGACTTGAAGTGCCATTCCTTGAAGTATTCAAGAAGGTGCACAGGATTTTATTGGAGTCTCAGTCGCGTTCGGAGCGCCTAACGGAGGACTCGGAGGAGTAGAAGATTTCCGAAGAGTTTTTATTTATTTGAGTCGTAGGAATATTTGTAACGATGACAAAAATATCTTCTCTCCAAAATCTTTTTAACTGTTCAAAATAGTTTTATTGAGTCAATCACAAAAGGTGTGCCAAACATTTATCAAATATTTATTTTGATAATATAAAATATTTTTGGTAAGCAAAAATATTTTATTCAAATATTTTTCGTGTACATCGTTTGACACACAAAATATTTTTGGGACTCAATTTCTACACCAAAATTCTTTATTTAATTCAAATTTTGAATTTGAATTAATTCTTTTCAACCCATTTGATTTGTTTGTTTATGGGAGCCTTATCACATTCAAATTCTTGTCCAAAACAAGTCATTAATCTCCAAAATAATCACTCAACTCGCACACATGTTTTGGGTCCTCATGTTTGGGGTTTGTTCGCTACTAGATCGATCCTTTTGTCTGGATCGATCGTCATGTGAGAACCCAGGGAGATTGGATCGATCCCCACATTAGATCGATCACATATTTTGGGACTTTTTCTTCGGAGGATCGATCAATCTGTTTGGATCGATCCCCCGTCACTTATTTCTTTCGTTTCCCAAAATTTTTTAACTCCTTTGGATCGATCCTTTGCCTTGGATCGATCCCCCGTGCTTTTGACACAAATTTATTTTCGGAAGTTTACTCCAGGTGATCGATCTTTTTCCCTGGATCGATCCCCAACGCTCCAATCTGTCAAAATCAGCCTTCCCTACTCCCAACGGATTTATTTCTTTTTACTCTATATAAACACTCTTCCTTGGTCTTTTTTAAGAATAAGAAACACTCCAATACTCCCCATTCTTGAGGTGTTAATCCTCCATCAATCTTTCCTCAAATTTATATTATTTTAAGAGAAAACTATTTGTTTTTAAGAGAGTGTTTTGTCATCCATTGGAGCTTTAATCTTTTCTCTTATCTACTCTTTTGAGAGCTATTGTTGAGAGGTTGAAGAAGATTGTTCTTCTTGTTGTTCAAGGCTTATGTGATTTAAGTCTTGGTTGTGAAGTCTTGTAGAGGACATATCTACGAGCGGTTGTGTCGAGGCTTGTGGGATTCAAGTTCTCGAGTTGTAAATGGTTTGTTAAGCACCCGTAAGCTTAACGGAAGTAGTGGTAGCTTCGAGAGAGTCTCTCGGGGAACTGGACTAGCCACGAGGTGGTGAACCAGTATACATCGGTGTGTTATTTTCCTTTTCTATTTTATTTCCGCTGCACTTACGTTTATATTATTAATCTTGCGAAAATCGGTAAACATTCTCAAACAACTCTATTCCCCCCCCCTCTAGAGTTGCACGCCTTGCCTAACAAAAGAGACGAGAAACATGATCGGGCGATAATGCAGAGAGGGACAGGGGTGCCTCGGCTGCCGGATTGGCCGACGGTCCGGCTTTTCCTCCATGCAGGCCTTTGGCAGTAGGTGCCGGCTGGGCAACAGATTGGCCTCCTCGGTTCCCGCGACCTCCCCCTCGACTAAATGACTGACGGCCATGTCCTCTGCAGGAGTTAGGAAACCGAATGATCATAAAGCATATATCAACAGTATGTCCCGATTTGCCACAGTGAGTGCAGTGACACACGTTTTGAGTTATCCGTGGTGTGGCAAATGCCATGGCATCCGTGCGGTCGTCTCGAGCACAAACTACACTTTTATGTCATTTTTCTTGGGTGATCAAATAGAACGCCTTATTAAGGTCCACCTACGGTCAAGTTCCAAGTATTTGGCTGCGTATGCTACCGAATTGCTCGTCGTCCAGACCCAAAAGAAACTTTCGAGTTTTTGATTTTTCAGCACGATCCTTCAATAGTGCAGCCGCCTCACACTTGCATCCGCAGGTGGGATCCTCCATCCCATACAACTTGTTCCAAATAGTAACAAATTGATTGTAATAAACTACCACGGTCTGACCCTTTTGACGAAGATTCTGTAACTCGTTTTCGAGTTGGTAAATATGAGGCTCATTAACCGTGTTATAGCGAGCCTTCTGATCTGTCCACAATTCTTGAACCACAGTATGGGAAGCAATACAGGGTTGGATTGTTTCATCAACACTATTCGAAATCCAGCTACAAATTGTAGAATTATTTGCTTCCCAAGCCTCAAGTTCCATAGGGTCTGTCGGTTTAGGTACACCAACGGGAGACAAAAACCCAGCCTTGCTACGACCCTTCAAAGCATTAACAATTGTCTTTTCGGAGGGATTAACATGTATCAAAATTATCACCTTTCAAAACGTGTTTTGTTAAAGCATTACCCGGACCTTCGGAGGGATGAAGGTAGTATTCAGATGAGGAATCATGGATCAAACATGTTTTCTTGGTAGTAATAGCCATCCCTGATGAATTGAACAATCAAGAAAAAACAGTAGCAGTGCCGCAAGACTTGGAGTATGGCGACGCAACAGAGAAGCAGTGCCGCAAGGCCTGGAGGAATCGCTGGAAACAATTGCCGTAACACCCCTATGCTGAACAAAACAATTATTGGCAATTCCAATAAGTGGATTTCACCAAATATCAATTGGACAGAACGTAACACTGCCAATAATTGGACTTCACAAATATAAATTCAGCCAAAAAAAAAGTGGACAGAAACAATTCCAGCGGCACACTCCTAGGGATTTTGTCGATAGAGAAAGAAACTAGTCAACATCGTACAAATCCCTATTGATCGAAAAAAATGAAACGCCGGAAAACGGAAGAACCCTAGGTTGGCTCTGATACCATGTGAAATTTGATAAATGACTGATCTGATTTCATTAAACAAGACTAGTCATATATATACAAGACTACAGAACAGGCTATGTTAACAAGTAGGCCCGATAAACTATTTTACATTCCAAAATACAAATACCCGCTAATAGTACTAGACTGAGTCACCATGAGAATACTACATGGGTATTATTTTAATATGCTAGTAGTATTCTCATTCGACCATTGGTATAACTATCTTTAGACTTGAGGTCATTATGATCCTTAATACGATGACCTACATGCTTTGATTCGTGATTAAAGTCATCCGAAATACTGGAAGACGTGTCATTATGTTTTGGGTATGTAGTTAAGCATATGTGAAGGCGTGAATGACGTAGAATGAATTTGTCCCTTCCATTGTGATGAAGTGTAATGTCTTCAGGCCCATTGATTGAAGTAACTTGGGAAGTATATGGCCATACCAAGATAAATTAATATATGTGAAATTAATGTTATTTGAAACCCACAAGTCAATCTGAGAATCAGTATACCAATGATTTAACTATAACGAGTTAGGAGTGAGCACGCCTGATCCGTTTTCTATGAGAAAAGGTATTCTTCTTTACAATAGTTTATAGTATTTTTAAGAGGATCATGGGTGGTAATAGCATTTTGATATAGAAATTTTTTATTACCGCTACATTATCTAAGCGGCGTTACCCAATAGTGGTATCAGAGTCGGCTTAAAAAATCATAAATTTTGTAGATCTGTAACCGTTAGGGTTTTCCTTAATTGATAAATTAGAACCAGATATTTATAAACTTTAGAAAATATCCAAAATAATGTGAANACTTCCCTTAAGCTTACGGGTGCTTAACAAACCGTTACAACCTAAGAACTCGAGTCCCACGAGCCTCAACAACACTTGCTCGGAGATACCGCACTCTAAGACTTCAACCCGAAGGAAGATCCCTTTCCTTCGTACAACCAAGGGAAACAAGCTTCCCTTAACATGTACACAACACTAAACACTCAACAACAAGACTCTCTTTAAGAGTAGATGATGAGTAAACTAAGTACGCTCAAGAACAACTCAAACTTCACACAAATTGGCTCTAGAAAGCTATGGAAAATGATGTTATTTGAATGCAATAAAAGTATGAATATTGTGAAGTGAATTGATAAGAAAATCAGACCCAAACACCCCTTTTTATAGTGCCAAAATAGGCTCCAACGGACCAATACATTAAAGGGGTGATTGGCTTGATTTATGGGATTAAATAAATTTGGGATCTGCAAGATCTTGGCTTCCCATCGATGTTTAGACTCAACCATCGCCTGAAGCCAATTTTCCTTCAGTTTTGAAGCCAAAGGTCACCTACCCATCAATGGGTACAAGCTTCCCATCGCTGGGTGGGAGGTTGACTTTCAAACAAGGAAAGAATCAACCTTAAATGACTTCCAAGAGTCATGCCTTCCCATGGCTGGGTAATATCCTCCCATCGCTGGGAAGTCACTTACCCATGGATGGGTAGTATCTCCCATCGCTGGGTAAGGGCATTCTGCCTTGTGATAATGTTGGACCAAGGCTTGAACAACGATGGGTAGAGCTTCCCATCGCTGTTTGGCATGGTTCTGGAATTCAATTGGGCTGAAGGCTGCTTACCCATTGCTGGGTGGCATGATTCTGGAATCCCGGAATCACTTACCCATGGCCGGGTGATATCTACCATCGCTGGGTAGATGGCTAGCCCAGAACCATGGCCTAGCTGACCGGCGCTGAAACCCAACCGAAAAATGCAAAGTTCTCCAAAGTAAAAACTAAGTATATCAAAAACTTATTTAATGTATTGTGATGTAAAAACAAGCTTTGTATGTTGAAAACCCCGTCGTTAAGGTAAAAACCACGGTTGACCAAGTCCACACCGTACACGGGTGGTTTTTACCAAAAGACAAAACCGAAGGGTGATTTTCATGATGTTTTGATTGGAGAAACATTTAAATGCATTGAAAAACAATTTCCACACAAAAAGACCTGAAAACTACTTCATTTAAGTAAAAACCACGGCTAGCCAAGTTTATGCCGTTTCACATGGTTTTTATCAAACGACAAAAAACGAAAGGTAGTTTTTGATGTGTTTTTTATGAAAAACTATTTAAATGTGCCCAGAAGTAAAAACCAATCATAAAAAGTAGAAAACCACTTGGTTGGTTCGGACGCCAAAAACCAACACCGATAACCGAATGCCGAACGCCGGTTTCCAAATGCCGAACCCTGGATGGCTTGGTTTTTGGCTTGGGCAAACACCATGTGTTTTTAATATGTTTAAGCATGTTTGAAAATAATTTTGATGATATGTAAAATGCAATAAAAAATGTTTTAGCCTAAAGAACCAAAGTGCAAAGCTTTGGTGGGTCTTGATCACATTGTGACCGACTTAATGACGCTAAACACTACGGTCTTCGTTCTTGGTCTCTTTTAGCTCTTGTTCTCTAGCTTTCTTCTTATATTTATTTCTCGCCTTGTATGATCAACAACTTGTCTTGTTCACGGCGGTTTGGCATTATCAAAACCTGTCATAAAAACGAACACGTCTTTAGTACGAAAACGTGATAAACCCGTGTTTCCACAATTTCTCCCTTTTTGACAATGGCAAACAAGACGGGGTTATCAATAGGAGGATTGATTTCAAACTTAAAAAATGTTCCCCCTTAATAAATGCAATTTTCTTTTCAACAAAGTTTATGTGTTGAATAAGAGTTAGTTTTAGGAAAAGTTCCCCCTCAATCTATGCATAACCTTTATATCTTCCCCCTTTTGACATTAACAAAAAGAATTAAAGGTAAACTTTTATTCATTAAAAGGGAAATGCGGTATACAACGGATAAAAATACAATCATATTTAATAAGGAGAAAATAAAGAAGAGGTCGTGGCGTCGGTGTTGGCCTTCTTCTTTGAAGCCTCGGTTTTGGTCGTTGACTTTCCTCTGTCCATTGTTGAAGCGTTTAGAAAGTGAGTAGAGGCTTAAAGTACAAAAAAGGAATGTAAATTGTGTGTTAAAAATGACCAAGGATGGTTAATATTTATAGGAAAGGATCATTTGTGCCCTTGGTGTTCAAAAATATGGCTGTTGGACATTGAATGAGGTGCCCAATGGCTATGATTTTTGAACTGCAACAGGCTTCCCAGCGATGGTAAGGTTCTCCCGTCCATGGGAAGCCAGTTACTGGAAATCCATTAAAAAAACTTTTAAAAAAAGTGTCAACCACTCAGCGATGGGAAGAAGTTCCCATCGATGGGAAGAGGGCTGCTAGTTAGAAAATACTTCCTTCCCAGCGATGGTATGAGCTACCCATCGCTGGTTCCCCCTGACTTCCGGATTCCTTCACCTGGAACCGTCCCTGAAAAAAACAGCACTTTGGTACCCAAAATATGTCTATGGGTCCTTGGGGGTTAGTTGACCTTTATTGCCCACGCACACACCCAAAATTCGTTTCCTTATACGCACACGCACACACACGATTAGATGATCGTTTAGGACTTACCTTGGCCAACCCATGATCTCGTGGTTGGCGGGTTCCAGTCTACCTGAACGGAGTGCCGATATCTCGGTGTGATTTGTGTTGGTTCCGGTAACAGAATGTGGACTTTCTCCTTTTCGTCAAAGTAGAAGAAATAGTAAGGTTTCTTTTGTGCATTATCCTGTGGAGATTGTTTATGATACGAATATCCTTTTCCAAAGGATTTCTTTTTGCTAGCACCAAATATGTTGTGTGTTTCATTATATGTGAAGTGCCTATGTCTGGTAAAACACACGGGAGCTATATGTCCTACCCTATTGCAATAATGGCATACTACGTTTGGGTTGAACATATGCCTAGGTTGATAATAGCTAGGGGGCCTAACCATGTTTGTCCTATTTTGAGAAAAGGATGATTTATGCATGTTTTCAAAAGGATCATTTCTAGGTGTTCTCATATTGTCTCTTCTATTATGAGAAAAATTATTTTTATGCACAAAATCATTTTGATAATTTTTCTTAGGTTGTCTACCATGAACGTTTTCATTCCTAGGTTTTTGTCTAGGTTGTCTAGTGTTCTTAGATTGACTAGGTTTTCTATTAACTTGATTTTTAGCTTTCTTACGTTAAGCCTTAGGAGGTTGTTTAGGTGTTTGCTCAATGTTTTCTCTATCGTTATCTTCGTTTTTATTAAAACTTATTCCTTCTTTAGAAAAGTGCATAGTGTCAAGGAGTAAATTTAGATCTTTGTGCGGAGTATTAAATTTCTTAACTGTACTCTCAAGTTTTGTGACTTGTTCTTTCAAAGCTATGCAAGTGTCACAATGTTTCGTAGAGCTCTCGGGTTTGTGGGCGCTTCTTTTACCATAAAACTTATTTTCCTCTTTTAGTTTTTCGTTTTCCTTTTGAAGTTTTTCAAGGTCAGTTTCAAGATTAGAAACACGTTTCTTTAAAGCTTTGTTGGTTTTAGAAGCGCTAACAAACTCGTTATAAAGCTCTTGGAGAGCTTCTTGCATTTTTTCAAGAGAATAAGAAACGGTAGAAGAATTACATACCTCTTGGTTTTCGCCGTTGTCGGACTCCTCTTCTTCTTGAGCTATGAGACAAAGGTTTGCTTCTTCGTCTTCCTCTTGCTCGCTTGACTCATCGCCGGAATTGCCACCCCAAGAGATGTATGCTCTTTGATTTTTGAAGTGACGAGCATTCCTTCCGCTTTTCAGGCATTTTTTTTTGATGTGCCCGGCTTCACCACATCCATAGCACACAGGGCCATCCTCAACCTTCTCTTTCTTCCTTAGAAGTTTACAAAACTTCTTCATGACAAGCTTGACTTCATCATCGTCGCTTGAATCATCCATCGTTGATTCTTTGATGGCTTTTAATGCTATCCCTTTCCTTTGGTCATTCAAAGACGGGTTAAGAATAGTAGATTCATAAGTTTTTAGATTACCTCTTAGACCGTCGATGGTGACATTTGATGTTCCGATTAATTCATAGATGGCATCGGCCTTGGATCGCCATTCGGATGTCAAGCTCCGTAGGATCTTTCGCACAAGATCCCTATCGGTGTAAGTCTTCTTTAATGCATGAAGATCGTTGACTATCTTGGAAAAATGGTCGAACATATCGTCGATCTTCTCGTGCTCCTTCATCCTGAACATCTCATACTCTTGGGTGAGGAAGTCGATCTTGGCTTCACGTACTTGGTCCGTTCCTTCGTACGTCACCTCGAGCTTATCCCACATCTCCTTGGCGGTTGAGCAGCAAGAGATCTTGCGATAGTCATCGGGGTTGACCGCGCAGTAGAGCATGTTAATAGCTTTTGCATAGTTCTCTACTTTCTTGATGTCTTCGACATCAAATTCATCTTCGGTCTTAGGGATCAACTTATCTCCGACTTTCTTCATCAGCATCTCTTCCCCATTTTTGATAACCAACCATAATTGGAAGTTCGTGGGACGAATATATATTCGCATTCGTTCTTTCCAATATGTATAATTGGTTCCATCAAAAAGAGGTGGCCGTGTGGTTGATTGCCCTTCACATATTCCTGCATACAAATTTCTAGAAGAAGAACCCATGATCGCTTTTACTCTCAAACGATTAAGGTTGGACGCGAGTTAGGCTATGATACCAATTGTTGGAATAAGTGACCAACACTAGAGGGGGGTGAATAGCGTTTGATCGTAGAAATCGCAGGATAAAAAAATTAAGAAAGTGAAAAATAAAGAGCGTAAAGAGAGCACACCAAGATTTATACTAGTTCACCACAACGTGTGGCTAATCTAGTCTCCCGAGAGACTCTCTCGAGCTACACTACTTCCGTTAAGCTTACGGGTGCTTAACAAACCGTTACAACCTGAGAACTCGAGTCCCACGAGCCTCAACAACACTTGCTCGGAGATACCGCACTCTAAGACTTCAACCCGAAGGAAGATACCTTTCCTTCGTACAACCAAGGGAAACAAGCTTCCCTTAACGTGTATACAACACTAAACACTCATGAACAAGACTCTCTTTAAGAGTAGATGAAGTGTAATGTCTTCAGGCCCATTGATTGAAGTAACTTGGGAAGTATATGGCCATACCAAGATAAATTAATATATGTGAAATTAATGTTATTTGAAACCCACAAGTCAATCTGAGAATCAGTATACCAATGATTTAACTATAACGAGTTAGGAGTGAGCACGCCTGATCCGTTTTCTATGAGAAAAGGTATTCTTCTTTACAATAGTTTATAGTATTTTTAAGAGGATCATGGGTGGTAATAGCATTTTGATATAGANGATGAAGTGTAATGTCTTCAGGCCCATTGATTGAAGTAACTTGGGAAGTATATGGCCATACCAAGATAAATTAATATATGTGAAATTAATGTTATTTGAAACCCACAAGTCAATCTGAGAATCAGTATACCAATGATTTAACTATAACGAGTTAGGAGTGAGCACGCCTGATCCGTTTTCTATGAGAAAAGGTATTCTTCTTTACAATAGTTTATAGTATTTTTAAGAGGATCATGGGTGGTAATAGCATTTTGATATAGAAATTTTTTATTACCGCTACATTATCTAAGCGGCGTTACCCAATAGTGGTATCAGAGTCGGCTTAAAAAATCATAAATTTTGTAGATCTGTAACCGTTAGGGTTTTCCTTAATTGATAAATTAGAACCAGATATTTATAAACTTTAGAAAATATCCAAAATAATGTGAAGTGTCAGAATATGATTTTGGACTTTATATAATTTTAAAATATGATTTTTAGAGTTGATTGTGTTAGAATAAGTGACCAACGCTAGAGGGGGGGGGGGTGAATAGCGTTTGATCGTAGAAATCGCAGAAATAAAAAAATTAAGAAAGTGAAAAGTAAAGAGTGTAAAAAGCGTAAAGAGAGCACACCAAGATTTATACTAGTTCACCACAACGTGTGGCTAATCCAGTCTCCCGAGAGACTCTCTCAAGCTACACTACTTCCCTTAAGCTTACGGGTGCTTAACAAACCGTTACAACCTAAGAACTCGAGTCCCACGAGCCTCAACAACACTTGCTCGGAGATACCGCACTCTAAGACTTCAACCCGAAGGAAGATCCCTTTCCTTCGTACAACCAAGGGAAACAAGCTTCCCTTAACATGTACACAACACTAAACACTCAACAACAAGACTCTCTTTAAGAGTAGATGATGAGTAAACTAAGTAGCGAGTTCTTGTTGAGTTTGAAGTGTGTTTAACCGAGATCTTTCGATACCTTTTACTACAATAAACTTACGTTATTTTCATACTTATAACACTTCACTTAACTATTCTTTTAGTCTGGGTTTGTGGGGAAAAATATCACGGTTTTATCCGAGGTTGCCTGGTTATGTAATTTCCCCACTAACCGAACTAAATACCCTAAGAATAAATTTGGGATCTGTAGGATATTGGCTTCCCATCAATGTTTAGAATCAACCATCGCTGGTAAGCCAATTTTCCTTCAGTTTTGAAGCCAAAGGTCACCTACCCATCGATGGGTACAAGCTTCCCATCGCTGGGTGGGAGGTTGACTTCCAAACAAGGAAAGAATCAACCTTAAATGACTTCCAACGGTCATGCCTTCCCATGGCTGGGTAATATCCTCCCATCGCTGGGAAGTCACTTACCCATGGATGGGTAATATCTCCCATCGCTGGGTAATGGCATTCTGCCTTGTGATAATGTTGGACCAAGGCTTGAACAGCGATGGGTAGAGCTTCCCATCGCTGTTTGGCATGGTTCAGGAATTCAATTGGGCTGAAGGCTGCTTACCCATCGCTGGGTGGCATGATTCTGGAATCCCGGAATCACTTACCCATGGCTGGGTGATATCTACCATCGCTGGGTAGATGGCTAGCCAGAACCATGGCATAGCTGACCGGCGCTAAAACCCGACCGAAAAATGCAAAGTTCTCCAAAGTAAAAAATAAGTATATAAAACACTTATTTAATGTATTGTGATGTCAAAACAATCTTTGTAAGTTGAAAACCATGTCGTTAAGGTAAAAACCACGGTTGACCAAGTCCACACCGTACACGGGTTGTTTTTACCAAAAGACAAAACCGAAAGGTGATTTTCATGATGTTTTGATTGGAGAACCATTTAAATGCATTCAAAAACAATTCCCGCACAAAAAGACTTGAAAACCACTTCATTTAAGTAAAAACAACGGCTAGCCAAGTTTATGCCGTTTCACATGGTTTTTATCAAACGACAAAAAACAAAAGGTGGTTTTTGAAGTATTTTTGATGAAAAACTATTTAAATGTGCCCAGAAGTAAAAAACCAATCATAAAAAGTAGAAAACCACTTGGTTGGTTCGGACGCTAAAAACCAACACCGATAACCGAATGCCGAACCTCAGATGGCTTGGTTTTTGGTTTGGGCAAACACCAAGTGTTTTTAATATGTTTAAGCATGTTTGAAAATAATTTTGATGATATGTAAAATGCAATAAAAATTGTTTTAGCCTAAAGAGCCAAAGTGTAAAGCTTGGGTCGGTCTTGATCACATTGTGACCGACTCAATGACGCTAAAGACTACGGTCTTCGTTCTTGGTCTCTTTTAGCTCTTGTTCTCTAGCTTCCTTCTTATATTTATTTCTCGCCTTGTATGATCAACAACTTGTCTCGTTCACGGCGTTTGGCATTATCAAAACCTGTCATGAAAACGAACACAGCTTTAGTACGAAAACGTGATAAACCCGTGTTTCAACAGATTATGGAATAGTTTTCTATTTATTCTATTAAATGTAGTTTTGTACTTTGATTGGTAAAAATATGAAATAGATACTTAATAAATTTGAAACGTATTTTTAATGATTCTTGAATGTTAAAATATGATTTTAAACATTTTGGAAACACAAAACTAAATTTTTGAAATTAAATTGCTATATTTTAAGTATTGATTTGATTTTGTAGTTAATTTGATTAATCACAAGATAAATATGGAAAAAGAATTTTAATTATTCTTGAATGTAAAATATCATTTTAAGTATTCTATAAAAATAAAATAATTTTCTGTATTTTTATTTTCTGTTTTTTGGATTTCACTAGACCTAATTCTTAATTAATATTTATTCATTAGAAATAAACTTTAAGGTCTGAAAATATAATTTTACAAATCTGGAAATATGATTTTCAGATTAAATAAAATTATTTGAGAATCTATCTTGAAATTAAAATAATTATTTTTTATTTATTAATAATTTAATCTTGGTAATTTTGCTATTATCGTTTTAAGTATTTATTGAATATAAAACTAATATTTTGTTTTCTAGAAAACTATTATATTGGAAAATATATATTTTCTTGGAAATTTTAGATTTGCAAAAATAATTTATAAAAACTCTTTTCAGTTTCCTTACTTAATAAGTGATATATTTTAAAAAACAAAATGCATCAAAATGGATGTTTGGTTTCCATGGTCTAGTAGGCAAAACAATCTATTTTGTGGAAAATATTTATTTTGGGAATATTTGAAATATTCAAAATGAATTTTAGAAATTAATTTACTTCTTACCAAGATAAAAATTAAAATTTCGAAAATAAAATTATTCAAATTTGGAAGTTCGATTTCCATGATATAGCAGGAAACAAAATCTACATTTTTTTAAAATATGGATTTTTGAAATATTAAAAACATCTAGAATAATTTTGGAAATTAATTCTGTTTGCTACGTAATTAAATTTTATAATTTTGAAATAAGATGTTATAAAATATGGAAATTTGGTTTTGAGATTTTGTATGTTACAAAATCTCTATTTTTTCAAAAATATTTATATCTGGAATATTAAGAATAGAAAATATTAATTTTGGAAATTATTTTTGGTGTCTACGCCATTTAATATATAAATCAAAAAATAATATAGTATAAAATATATAAATTTGATTTTCAGACTAATAAAATCAAAAAAATGCAAACTGACTTTTTTCTATTATTTTTCGAAAAGTATAAGTATATATTTCGAATTACAATACCTATTTTTAAATGAATACATATATTTACGGTAATATTTTTTTTTATATCATGGAAATTTTGAAATGTTGTTTTGAGTATTTTGGAGTTTTAAAATATTTTAAATTAAATTATTTGATAGTTTAACTATTTGTTTTAGACTTGTAGTTTATTTTAGTATAAACTAGGTCTAGGGTGAGCGCGGTTCGCCTGGTGTTTGCTTAACTGTTTACATGTGAATTATATAAGTAGTTTGTTGTAATGGATCTTATCCTGCAATTGTTGCTAGTATTATATAAGTAGTTTGTTGTTAATTATGAGACACATGAGCTTGATAAACCCTTGCACGACTTCTTAAAGAAGTTACGAACTGCTGAAGAGAGCCTTAGAAAGGGAAAAGGTAGTTCCATCTTGTTTAAGGCGGAAAGCAGAAGAAATTTAAGGAATCTGTGAACAAAGGCAAGGGTAAAACCAAGCCTGAATCCACTTTTTCTAACCTTAAGCCAAAAGGTGGAGTAGGGAAAGACTCTATATGTCATCATTGTGGCAAGCAAAATCACTAGAGGAGGAACTGCAAAGACTACCTAGCTTCCAAGAATGAAGAATGAGGGTGACACC